CTGCTGGCTGGGGTTAAACCACGACAATGACATATCCACGTAGCACAGCCCCAAAAGTCTTTTGTACCACAGGCACAATTTCTCCTGTCATTTACCAAAGCTTTTAGAAGAATTTCATTTGTTACTCAAAAGAACTTGGAGTTAGGGTTTTTTGTGCTAAAAATTCATCCCCCTTACACTGAGGGTAATGGTAGCAATTCAGAAACACCTGTAAAAATACAGCAACCACGAAGCAATTTGGGTTTAAAATAAAACCCAAAAGTGACTTTTAAAAGTTCAGAAGGTTTATACTTTCTCTATCTTTTAGGCATGTGAGTAACAGCACTCAGCATAATATATGAGGGTGAGGAGGGGGGAAAGAAGTCTTAAATGAAGACAACTGAATGCATTTAGCATATACCATGAATGAAAAGGCTCCAATACAGCCCTTTCTGCCCTGTGACCTGACAGGACAGAATATCCCAGTCACTAATGGTGGTACTGTGGTTCAGCCAAATTCTAATGCTTAACATGACACAATCAGCAACAAGTGGAGAACTCAAATCACTTGCTCATTTTCTGATTTTAGCAAGTGAAATACAGGTTAAAAATAGGATATATTTTCTAATCAAAGCACAGACTACTAGGAAATTTAAACACTATTCAAACATCTTCCCATGACCAATGATAACAACAGCCAGGATGTTGCTTGAACTGCCTCTAACTGGAGCTCTTGGTAGCTCAGAACTAAGAAAAACTCCAAGGTAACAGTGCATCAGCACCTCCTGTCAGGTTTGATTGTAAAGTTTGCTTAACTTCATGAGCAAAGGTACTCAAGAAAGCCTGCAGGAGGCTTGAAGAGTGTCTAGATGTGTAAGAAGCAGCATGAGGAGGCAGCAACTCAGCTGCTGAGTATCACCTCTGTGAGAAAAAGCAAAGCAAGCTGATAAAAGAAATCTCAGCAGCTCCCTTTGATGGAAGCTACAAAAAATAATAAAGTCTACAGAGCTCTGGCTGCCTGCCTGATTTTTATTCTTTCTTTCCCTTCTCTGTCAGTGTATAAATAACACACTTGCATATTGGAAATGGCATGAATAGTGTGTGCCTTGTGGTTTTGAAAACCTGAGCTGAACTGTGCAAGATTATGAGCAATTTCTTGAATGTCATGTAGCTTTCCCTCTGTCACACTCTAATGTAGTTTGCCCTCAGCCTAGAGGACACAAACTCTCCTCTCTTGTGAAAATTGGGGGAGAAAAAGGAGGTTTTTATCCGGCACAGGTTGCCCAGAGAAGCTGTAGCTGCCCCATCCCTGGACATTCAAGGCCAGGTTGGATGGGGCTTGGAGCAACCTGGGCCAGTGGAAGGTGTCCCTGCCCATGGCAGGGGCTGGAACTGGATGAGCTTTATGGTTCCTTCCAACCCAAACCAGTCTGGGATTCTATGATCTCTGTCTCACAGAAATAAACCTATAAATGCTACAACACAACATTGATTTTAGAGTACTAGGGGAGTTACTCTCAACTCCTCTCCCAAAGGTGATTCCTCAAAGAACCCAGAAAACTGGAAGAATCCAGGACCCACAAAAATGTGGAAGAAAAAAAGCTTGAGCACCACATGAAGGGAGGAAGATGGGTCTTGCAGGTTCACATCTGCTCAGTGAAGAGAAACAAATGCACAGAAACTGTTATTATACAAAATGATCAACTGAAGTGTTACTTAATTTCATTTCCTCAGGCTAACTGTTTACAAGGACCCATGCAATCTCCTTGAGATTGACTGCAGGAGTTGTGCATTGTACCTCTGGCAAAAAAAGCAATCTGAATTGTAATTGCAGCAGGTATCCAGCATGAACAAAAACTACTGTCACAAGCTAAGAGTTTTGTGGAATGCTTTTTTCTGTTTTTATTCTTCACTGTTCCCCTAACTCCTGCCAGAATCTCTTGCTGATAGGAAATGCCAACCTGATTATGTTTTGACTTACTGAAGTTATTTCTCCAAGAAAATTGTTTTCAAGAAATACATGTAGATACATTTTCATTAAAAATCAAATTATTATAAATCACAACCGGCTTATTACTTGTTTCTTGGTGCAAGACAATTAAAAGATAGACTTGGTGATTTTTAATTCCCAATGCAAAAAAAACCCATCTTACGAGTCACATCATAGCCAAACACAAGACAAATGAAATATTAAACTCCATTCTCCTGGGCTGCAGACTTCAATAGCAACATGATCCAGGTTACTTTGGGATTTGATTGCAAGTTAGAAGAGATTTATGGGACTGAGCTTAATTAATAGAGCAGTTTATCCTGCTAAACAGACGTGAAAAAACTCATCTAGCAAGTTTAGAAATTACTGTTGCCAAACTGATGGAAATTAAGTCGTCACACAGCATTACCAACTTATCATGGAATCATAGAATTTTAGGGCTTGGAATGGAGCTTGTAGATCATCCAGCCCCACCCCCCTGCCCTGGGCAGGGACACCTCCCACCAGAGCAGGTTGCTCAAGGCTCATCCAACCTGGCTGTGAACACTGCCAGGGCTGGGGCAGCCACAGCCTCCCTGGGCAACCTGGGACAGTGTCTCACCACCCTCACAGCAAAACACTTCCTCCTAAGACCTAATCTAAATTTCCCTTTTGCAATTTCTCCCCATTGCTCCTTGTCCTGTCCCTGCAGTTCCTAACACAGAGTCCCTCTGCAGCTTCTCTGGAGCCCCTTCAGCTCCTGCAGGTGCTCTGAGGTCTCCACACAACCTTCTCTTCTCCAGGCTGAACAGTCCCAACTCTCTCAGCCTGTCCTCACAGGGGAGATGCTCCAATCCTCTAAACAACTTTGTGGCCTCCTCTGGACTTGCTCCAACAGTTCCAACTGTCCATGTCCACATACCATGTCCTCCTTAAGTTGAGGACACCAGAACTGCACTCAAACTTCTCTGTTTTAGTCCAAATCTAAACCTTCCCCATCAAAAATAAATTGTGATGGTGGTTCCCCTTCCCCCCTCTCCCCTATTAATATTCCATTTTCTGTACCATTTGAAAAACAGGTGCTGTAAAATAATACACAATTAGGAATTTGAAGTGTTGCTTCCATATCCTGACATTAAGAAAATGAAAGAAACAGACATTGCAGCAGCTATTCAAGGCTAAATCCTACCTCACTGAAAACAATGGATTCTTTCCTATTGGCACAACTGGAGAAGCTTTTCTGTTTCAATATCACTCTGTGTCAAATTCCTGCAAGTGATCTAAATAATTTGCCCATTATTTAGCAAAACAGGCACACAACGAGGCCCATTTTTTGCCCTCTGTAACAAAACTCACTTGTCAGTTACAGATGACCAACCTGATGTTCTGAGCTCACTATTTTAATTAAAATCTCCATGTGACCTTGATTAAATAAATATGGTGACAGATTGACCTTGTACACAATTGTTACAGGGTGGAAGATAAATGGACTCCATGAATCCTTAAGGTGCAACTGGAAAGGCTGAAAAATTAGAGAAAAATCCCCCAAACCAGTTATCACTCTCTCCTGAGAAATAATCCATACCAAAAAAAAGGCATTATAGAAAATTTAATCCTAAAACAGCTGCATAAACCTCTTAAGCAATGGATTTTATATGAATGAAAATTTTTTACAATATTTCTTCTCTGTTCATAACAAAATCATCTGATAAACTGTACAGCCAAGGTGAACATCAAGTCTCACTTGCATAGGATGGGCTGTGGCTGGTTTTAAACAAAAAGCCAAATGCTACAAAACTAGTATATCCTCAACAATTCTGTTTCTGAAGTTTTGTCCTGTACTCCCTCATTTTTATTACTGCTTTGTTTCCTCACATGCAAATGACATACAGCACAGGTTCAAAACATAACATCAGAGGAGACACAGTGGTTTGATTCTTTGGGGGCTGAAGAAGTGGGATGGGATCTGCTATCAGAAGACATTTTCATAAAATCATCATAGAATCACAGAATTTAGGGGTTGGAATGAAGCTTAGAGATCATCTAGTCCCAACCCCCTGCCCTGGGCAAGGACACCTCCCACCAGAACAGGTTGCTCAAGGCTTGAGCCAACCTGGCTGTGAACACTGCCAGGGACAGCCTCCCTGGGCAACCTGGGACAGTGTCTCACCACCCTCACAGGAAAAAACTCTTTTCTCACACCCAACCTAGACTTTCCCTCCTTCAGTGTGAACCCATTACCCCTTGTCCTATCACTGCAGTTCCTAACACAGAGTCCCTCTCCAGCTCCTTGTAGACCCTTCAGATACTGAAAAGTTGCTCTGAGGTCTCCACGCAGTCTTCTCTTCTCCAGACTAAACAGCCCCAACTCCCTCAGCCTGCCCTCATAGGGGAGATGCTCCAGTGCTCTGATCAACTTTGTGGCCTCC